GGATCAATTCAACCATCAACTTTTTTTACATTTTGAGATGCTGAAGGTGGCTAGAGAAAAGTCATAATTGGCATTTGCAACTAGATTTCCTCTCATGGGCCATACCAGAAACAATAAAACATTACTAGAGTAGTACTAATGGTGTCTTGCTATGTGTTCCTTCCAGGTCAAAGTTATATTACTGGTAGTACACATATAAACTTTTACTCTTTAGACAATATGCTGATATGAATTTATTCAATAAACTTTTTTTTTTTTTAGCACTTATATGCAAACCACTGTCCTAGGCCTTAGGTGGAGGATATAAGGGGAACAAAAAAACCTTGCCTTCAAGAAATTTGTAGTAGTGAGGAAGACAATATCTATACTAATAAATGGGTAATATGCTAATTAGACCAGACATCTTCCAGATGACCTTCCGGACAAAGCCATGGTGGCGGGGCCAAGGTAGAGGTGGTTAGGGGTGATCATGTCGGCAGGGGAGAGCAGTTAGGGGGATCAGGCCGGCAGGCATGTGAGCAGTTAGGAGCCAGTGGTCCCGGATTACGAGAGGGATGTCCAGGATTGGAGAGGATGCAGACAGGGCTGAGGGACCCTCCTCCCCTCCCCGTGCACGAATTTCATGCACCGGGCTTCTAGTTATGTAATAAAGCACTCTCCCACCATTTTTACTGTGTACAATCTGACCTTATCAATCCTTCCAGCCTTGTGACTTTTCCATATATTTCCAGTCTATTAGCCCCCTTGCTGCTTCCTTTCTTTTCTAATCCACTCCCTATGTCACAAATATCTTTCCAATACCTTTCTTTTTTTTTTTTTTTTTAAATATATTTTTTTTATTGATTTTTTTACAGAGAGGAAGGGAGAGGGATAGAGAGTTAGAAACATCGATGAGAGAGAAACATCAATCAGCTGCCTCCTGCACACTCCCCACTGGGTATGTGCCCGCAACCAAGGTACATGCCCTTGACCAGAATTGAACCCGGGACCCTTGAGTCCGCAGGCCGACGCTCTATCCACTGAGCTAAACCAGTTAGGGCTCCAATACCTTTCTTACTGGTCCTGTCAACTTGAATTGCTCTTGTGCCATATCTGGCTTGCAAATTCCCACACACATGATCTGCTGACCATCAACTTTCTTTTCTTTTTTTTTTAGAGAGAGGGAGGGAGGGAGGGAGAGAGGAAGAAAGGGAGGGGGAGAGACAAAGAGAAACACCAACTGGTTGCTTCTGGTACACACTTGGTCGCCTTTGGTATTCACCCCGACGGTACGTACACTGACCGGGAACAAACCCAAAACCTGGGCATGTGCCCTGACTGGGAATAGAACTGGAGACCTTTTGGTGCATGGGACAATGCTCAACAAAGTGAACCACACTGGCCAGGGCAACTTTCTTTTCTTTTTGAGCTGCTAAGTGCGGCCAGACAAAACTCATAATTGTTTATACTGATCCACTACAAATTACTGGTCTCCAAATTGCATTAGGCTCTTCAAACTTTTGGACAATCCTGAGCAGATCTGCTCAGCTCCCCTTCTGATTTCCTTCAGCAGCTACTCCAAACTTTTACCAACTCAACACTTTACGACATTTCCACCTCCACTCTCAACAAGTGATCTTGCCTTTTACATCCCAAAGAAATAAACACTAGCGGCTGTTTTTCCCTCAGATGCACCAATAAACCTTTCTACAAATAAAGCTAGCCTCACCATCTTCTCCACATTCTCAGAAGTGCTGTCCTGTGTAGGGCCAAAATGTTTGTCCACCTGAGCTTTCAATCTTCCTGTCTGCTCCAGGACCTGCTCATACACTGCTCTTCTAGTCAAGGTAGCCTTGGTCTCACAAAACCTTCTTCACATACTGAGTACCTAATATCCAAATCCAGTAATTTTTAGTCTTCTTGACCTCTCTGCACTATTTACCTTGGTGATCATTCTGGCCGCTTCTTTACAACTCTTTTTTCTTTTTTTCAATCCTCACCCGAGGATATTTTTCCATTGATTTTAGAGAGTGGAAGAGAGTGAGACAGAGAGAAATATTGATGCGAGAGAAACACATTGATTGGTTGCCTTCTGCACATGCCCTGACCAGGGCCTGGGCCAGGGAGGAGCCTGCAACCAAGGTACCTGCCCTTGCCTGGAATCGAACCTGGGACCCTTTGGTCCGCAGGCTGAGGCTCTATCCACTGAGCAAAACCAGCTAGGGCTACTCTTTTAACTTCTGGGGCTCCTCTTATTCTGCTCTTATTCCCTTCAGCTCCACCAATTATCCATTTTTTCCCCTTGGGCTTTAAATGTTGGTTTCCCCTGGGTGCTATTTGGCTTTGGCAATCTCAGCCATTCTTCTTTGTTGTTGTTAGTCCTCACCCAAGGATATTTTTCCACTGATTTTCAGAGAGAATGTTAAGAGAGGGGGAGAGACAGAGAGAGAAACATCGATGTGAGAGACACATTGATTGGTTGCCTCCTGCATGCTCCAGCACCCTCCATTGGTGTGGCCAGGGATGGAGCCTGCAACTGAGGTACCTGCCCTTGACCAGAATTGAACCCAGGATGCTTCAGTCTGCAGGCCAATGCTCTATCTACTGAGACAAACTGACCAGGGCAGCCATTCTTTTTTTTTTTTAATTATATTTTTATTGATTTCAGAGAGGAAGGAAGAGGGATAGAAACATCAATAATGAGAGAGAATCACTGATTGGTTGCCTTCTGCACACCCCATACTGGGGATCGTTCCCTGACCAGGAATCGAACTGTGACCTCCTGGCTCAACCACTGAGCCCTGCCAGCTGGGCAGGGCAGCCATTCTTGACTAATTACTCCTAAATTATTATCTTCAACTCAGACCTCTTATTTTAAGTTCCCAATCACAATTTCAAGTTACCAACCAGATATATCCCCCTGGATGTTTTCACTTATTAAACAACCTAGTATCTTCAATGTGCCAGCCACTGTCCTAGGTGCTAGGAATAGAGCAATAAAAAGACACAATCCTCACCCACACAGACCTGATATTCTAGTTTAGCAGGTAAGAGATTAGATGCCTCATAGGCACTTGAAAGCTAACATATCTGAAACCAAACTTATTATCTACCTTCTAACTCTGTTCTTCTATGTATATATTCCTCATTTTCTCCTTCTCCTCTGCCCAGCCCATGTATTTATTTAGTCACGATGCCTTGTCAATTCTATCTCCTAAATATCTCTTTGTTATGTCCCCTCCATCCTCTCTTCCACTGCCTTAGTTCCACCTCATCTGGCCTACTGCAATGATCTATTGACTGGTTTCTTTGCTTTCTGAAAAAGTCAATCCACCCCCTTCCCGCCCCTCCCCCTAAATATCAGAGCATTTGCAATGCTAATTTCACCTGGGCATAGGTATTACCCAGGTTCAAATCCCCTGGACTTCCCACTGCTTGGAGCCTTCATCATTATGTACTTTACACTCTACCTGTAGTATCCATATCTACCCTGCTTCCAGTAAGAACAAGTGCTCCAGGTGGGACCAAATTATCTACATATATTAGCAAATTTTCCCACAAAATTCCTGATCAACATTTAAGGATTAGCTTCTTTAGGTGATGGTATAATGGTTACCCCAGAACTTAGAGTTAGGCTGCCTGAGTTTGAATCCAGCTCATACTGGCTATGTGACCTTGGGCAAGCTAATTTAAACCCCAGTTTTACTTTCCAAAGTAGGAATAATAGTAGCAGCTACTTCACAGGGATGATAATTAAATCAATATATCAAAGTCCCTGGCAAGTAGTAAATGTTATATCGTATGTGGTTATCATTAGATCTTCACTACTCCCCCTTCAACAAAGTTAAGCACTTTCTCATAAGTTCCTCATTACACTGATGGTCTCAGGGCAAAAACTTTCTCCTTTTCTCTGCCAACATTCATCTTCTTATCCTCTGCCAACACAATCTATGTCACATTTTTACCTAAAATAACTATCAATAAACGTGGAATGTATTCAAGCTAAATGCTGTGCAGGTACAAAAGAAAATGCAAATATCTGGGCCAAGTCTTGAAAGATAAATCAAGTTTCAAGTGGAAAAAAAAAAAAGGGTGAGGAAAAAAATAAAGCACTTCACAACACTGAAAAGCATGCACAAAGCAGGCATTAAAGTGTAGACAACCCTGGTGGGGTAGCTCAGTTGGTTCAAGCACCGTCCTGATGTGCCAGGGTTGTGGGTTCGATCCCAGGTCAGGACACATACAAGAATCAACCAATGAATGCATAAATAAGTTGAACAACAAAAATCAATGTTTCTCTCCCTCTCCTTTCCTCTCTCTAAAAACAATAAAAAAATAAAAATAAATAAAAAACAAATTTAAAAAGAAGTAGACAAAAACAAGAAAGTGCAGTCCTAGCTGTTTTGGCTCAGTGGATAGAGCGTCAGCCTATGGACTAAAGGGTCCTGGGTTCGATTTCGATCAAGGGTACACACCCGGGTTTCGGGCTTGATCCCCAGTAGGGAGCGTGCAGGAGGCAGCCAATCAATGATTCTCTCTCATCAGTGATGTTTCTCTCTCTCTCCATTCCTCTCTGAAATCAATAAAAATATATTAAAAAAACAAAAACAAAAAACAATAAAATGCAGAGAAAGATGCTTGGGCAGTGACAAGTAGATGAGACTATGCCTAGAGTGTGTGTATCTGGAGGGACATACTGAGAAATGAAGCCAGCCTTAAAGGGTTATGATTAATGGTGTTTAATGCTAGCCTAAGGAGTTTGGACCCTGTTGCAAAAAGAATTGGGTCCACGTTTTTTGGCTAGTGGTGCTATATGATTTAATTATTTTAGTTAGGTAACTAGAAGTAATGTGAAGACTGGATTTAAAAGTAGTAAGACTGCAGACAGACCAATGACATGTACTGCCACAATCTAGGCAAGAAATAGCAGAGACCTTCACTGGGGCCATGCAAATGAAAGATAGGACACACAACATTTGGAAGATAGGATACAGAATATTTCAGAGGTGAAATTAACTTGCCTCAGTGACTGTTCTGATATGGGGATGGAGGATATGATTCAGATTTTTTTGCTTCATGATCGGAAAATGATGACATTATGAAGAAATACAGAGGGAGGAACAAAGCTAGGAGTCCAGGAGAGATGCAGATACTCCACCTGAAGTAATTTTGAAACAATAAACATATTATTTAAATTCAAATCAAGTGCTAAGAGAATTATTTCATCACATAGGCATCCACTGCCCTTATTTAACAAGCACATCAGAGCAAATGTGTCAAGTTCAAAGGGCTCATTTCTTTAATATATAATGTTAAATTTAAAAGGCCTTCATTTGTGAAAAATCAAAAATCCCCTATTATGTAGAGCCATGGCTAAAGAGATTCATGTGGCCAATTATTTTTGTTATTGTGTATTTTTAAGGTCTTTTTTTGAGTTTCTACAAAACAATATTTTCTTGAGACTGTAAGGTTCTCTTCTATTTTAAATATCATGATGAAAATTCAAGGCTGCTTAAAAATATATTTAAACATATTGACTTTAATTTTGCTTACTTGCAGCTCTGTATGAAATGCTTACATTATTATTTTTGAATCTGTGATGTCCCCTCTGCAATTTATATCAAATATGCACTTCATGCTTTTTCTCTATCAAGACTATTAAAAGGCTGAACAAGGTAATCCAAAACATAGGTGCAATGTCTAAAAATTCTGATTATGGCAATCTATTTCTATCAGAACAAGTACGACACAAAGAAATTTAAAAGGCTAGATAGTTCTATTCCTGAAATGAGGAAACAGCAGGATAACTTTATGCAGCTATAATCAACCTTCAGTGCACAGCGGAATCTTCTTGGGTTCTTGTTTAAAAAGTAGTTTTCTGTCCTCCCTTAAGAGACTGACTTACTTATGAGGGCACAGACCCGAAAACTTGTTTTTGAAACCCCTAGGGCCTAGGCGGTTACCATGCAAGTGTTTCAAGGCCCCTTTGAGAAACACATGCACTGTGTCTGATGTCAGAAACATGGGTTTGAAGTCCACCTCTCTCATTCCTATCCTGGCCATGTGATCTGAGACTACTTACTTTCTCTAAGGTTCATATTTCTCATCTGTAAAAGGGGAATACTAAAAGCTTCACAAGGATAAATGAGATAATGCCTCGACAGTGCTTTAACACAGTACCCAGCTATTATTATTATTGTTATTATGATTTATCAATTCCACAGGACAAAAATAAGGAAGAACTGGACATACATCCATATTCATCATGGCATTATAAGTGCTTTCTAATTCATGGTAATGTTTGTCTATTTTCATCTATAAGATTCTACAAGAGCCGAAACCGGTTTGGCTCAGTGGATAGAGCGTCGGCCTGCGGACTGAAAGGTCCCAGGTTCGATTCCGGTCAAGGGCATGTACCTGGGTTGCGGGCATATCCCCAGTAGGAGATGTGCAGGAGGCAGCTGATCGATGTTTCTCTCTCATCGATGTTTCTAACTCTCTATCTCTCTCCCTTCCTCTCTGTAAAAAATCAATAAAATATATTTAAAAAAAAAAAAAAAAAAGATTCTACAAGAGCCTCTTGGTCAGGCATGCTCTTTGTCCTCCTCTACCTTTAATTTTATAATACATGAAAAAAGTTTTTGGACACATTACTTAAGTGGTCCCAGTTCTATAAGCAAATCTTACCAAAGGCATAAAGCCAGGACCACAAATATTCACTGGAAAATACTCTACATCAATATAAATACTAAAAAAATTGAAACTTTTACTGAACATTAGTCAGATTTTTACCAGGAAGCAAATTGTTTGCTTTTCCTGGTAGACCACAAAAATATGATGAAGCTGTTATCTAAATAAGTAAAAGGCCATATACTTTATATTTGAAAACAGTCCGGTAGGGCACATGCCAGGGTTGCAGGCTCCATCCCCAGCAGGGGGCGTGCAGGAGGCAGCCAATGAATATTTGATGCATAGGTGTTTCTATCCCTCTCTCTGCTCTCCCTTCCTCTGGCTCTAAAATAAAAACATATTTTAAAAAATAAAATACAAAATATAAGTGGTCATCTAACTCCACTATCTTATCCCAGAAGATATATATACACATTTACACACACACATTTTAAAATTAATCAAACTACAATTTTTAGAAATAACCAGAAATACTATATGAGGCTTTTGCGCTAAAGTTTTAAATGATGCTTTTGTGTAAACTGAGAAATTCATTAATTCATCATCTAGCAAATAAAAGTATGCAGCACCTTCTGCATCTGTCTTATCATTTACAAGCTTTATAAAGGTCATCAGCGAATGCTACCTATTATTAAAAAAACATCAATAATATCCTAAAAATATTTCATCGCCTGCCCCAAATCGACTAACAGATGTGTCTCTCACATTACCTAAGATGAGTAAGTAAAATTAAAATGGAAAAACAAAGTGCAGGTTGTTAAATGTGAGTGAACCACGGAACCTTGCTGAGCTGCAATCATCATATATCAATATTTTCCAAGTGTTCACTTGCACAAGGCACTGTAACGATCACCACCCGTCAGCAAAGGCAAAGGGGGGTGGGGAGAGTGGTCGGGAGAAGTCGGAAGCCCGAAGGTCCTTTCTGAAGTGGAACGCAATTCACTTCAAAACAAGGTTAATTCTGACAAGGGTGCGTTTTTTTGGACATTAAGAAAAGTGCTATCAGCACTTTGCAAAATCTGGTAGGATAGTGGAGAAGAGTTAAGATTCGGTGCGTGCAGCATCCCTCGCAAAGAATAATTTAGAAAAGCCCGTACTATTTATTACCAGTGTTAGAGAGAAAGAAGGGTGGGCGGGCGCGGGTTTAAGAGGTCCGCACGGGGAAAGTGAGGGTGCCGCCAGGAAGGTCTGAGCACAGGTTTTCATAGCCCCCCAAAGTGGCGAGGGGAGGGAGTCCCGCTCCGGCCTCCCCCTCCTCACCTACGCCCCGACCCGGGGGGAGGGGAGGAGGTCCACTGCGGGGTCCGAGTCGGGGCGGGGACCAGACAGGGGCCGCGGGTCTCCAGGAAATCAGAACCCAGCGTCCCCGAGGGAGGAAGGGCTGCAGAAGGGCGGGGCGCGGGGTGGCGAGGAAACTGAAAGGAGGCCGGCGAGGAAGGGGTGGCGCGCGACCCCGGACCCTTCCGCGTCCCACACCCCAGGGCCACGGCGGGGGAGGGAGGGTCCCGCGAATGAGGAGGTAGAACTTACTCCGCGGTCCTCCTCAGAGAGGAAGTCGGGGCCGTCGTCCAGGCCTTCCTGCGAGGTCGGAGGGGCCCGGCGCACCCGGGGAAAGGACGGAGTGAGGGAGACACAAAGGGAGACATTAGTGCCAGGCCGGCGGGGCCCCCAAGCCCGCCCCGCGCCCACGGCCCCCACCGCGCGCCGGGGGCTCAGCGCCGCTAGAGAACACCCACCATCATGGCTGCTCCGAGGCGAGGGCCAGCGCAGGCGCGCTCCGCACCGCGGGGCCGGAGGGAGACCACGGCGGCGGGAGGGGCGGGGCGGGGCGGGGCGACACGGGGGCGGGGCCTCTGCACAGCCCCGCCCACCGGCGCCGGGGCTGGGGTCTGCCGGCCGGGAGGAAGGGAGGCGGGGCTTTCTGCCAAAGATCTGAGCACCCGAAGGCCGAGACCCACTGGCGGGGGACGGCTAGAGGACGGCGGGCCCTGGCCCCGCTGGGCTGAGGGCCCCTGGGGGAGCTGTCCAGTTCTCTTTCCCTGAGGGCTGCGGCGAAAAACCAAGCAAGCACCCTCCGGAAGCCTCAATAAGTCATCTAATCTTTGTCTTGTGCCACAGGATAATTAATCACAATTAATATTTTGCCGGAGAAGCTGTGGGAACCAAGGGCCTTAACAGTCAGCAGGCAGGCTGTAATCAAGTTTTTACTGCTGGCAAGGTAATAAATAACTACCTGAGAGTTTGGGGCGCTAATGGTTGAGCGCTATAAAAATGAGCGCTCCTTTCCTTTACACCAAGAAATGTCCCCACACCTACTTCAGCTGTCCAGCTGTGTAGATCACACGGGCGTCCACAGGCAGTTCAAGTAACAAGGCAAAACCATTCCTTAACATCGGACCACTTTACCTATACACACACACACAAGCAATCCTGTGCTTCCATTCAATCAATGGCATCTTTAGGTGTTAAAGCTAGAAAGCTCAAAGTCCAATTCAAATCCTGCGTCTCCTTCATTACACCGTCTAGTAACTAAATGCGATTGCTTCTGTAATTGATTACCTGCTGTTACTTAAACTGGTCCCATTCCTCCCCACAACGTCCTTCCACAGCAATTGCCCTCAGCGTATCTCCTCTGGATCTTTGCAAGATTCTCTTAACTTTTTTTAATTTCCATATCTCTTTCCTCCATTCCACACACTGCTGCCCGTTTTCCTCCTGAGATACAGATATTATTGATGATTACACTACTGCCTGTTCAATAATCGTTACAAGTCTCCATATGTAAAAATCTAACTCCTCAGCCGATGATTCCAGGCCCTCCACATTTTATTTTCTCTGCGTTTTGCCAGGCCCCTTGTTCTATCCTACTGAATGGAAGCTCTCAAAACAATAGTATTAAATTTACTAATTCTTCCATGAGAATTTTTAGCTTTCATTTTGTATATAAGGAGAACTGAGGCATAGAGAGATTAAGTTACTGCCCCAAAAGGGTTATTTTCCAATATTAGGTGGATGACTTTATTTTTTGTCTTTTTTTATTGTTACCCAGTGCATTATAATAAGTACTAGAGTAGTGTTTTCCATTGGGAGTCATGAAGCATCATTCAGAATAAGTGTAGTGTGGTGAAATGTCAGAAGGAATGTTCCAGTAATTTGTTGCTTATAAAAAATGCCAATATGTCCTAATGACCTATTTCTGGATTGAAGATAATGCCTGTAAAGCTCCACTTCCTAGATGAAGAGAGAAGAGCGGTGCTACAATTAATGTGTACAACTGGTGGGAGGATCAGGTGTGTCCTTGTGGACAAAGGTCAAGAAGTGTCATATAGGACCACCTCAAAGAGCTCTGATCATTAATTAAGGGCTTTAAATTTCAATATGTAAGCCAAGTCCAGAAACATTGAAATTCTCAAATGCTAAATTTAAAAATTACTAGTTATGAAAAAGGACATAATTTAAAATATGTGTAGCCAACTAAAATGATTTAATAAGGCATATAGTAGTTGCTGTCATTAAAATCAGTAGCTGAAAACTCATGAGAACACAACCTTGAAATAATTAAGTAGCTCATTAATACCTGAGCCTTCCTTTCTGAGCATAGGTCTCAAGCTATCTTTTGTCAATGATAAAAAGGAATTATCAGTAATAATACTAACAGCTATCAAAAAGCCAGTTACAATTAAGGAATATCAAAAGAAAAGAAATTAAGATAAGCTCACGTAACAGATTTGTCTACTACTTATAAAATAAATCAAGAAGATATTAAAGCTGAACCACTCCTCTAATACTTTTAACCAAATAATCAATTTTTATCTTGTTTTGATAGATTTCTCTAAAATTATCTACTTTTATATAAATTTAAAAAGAAAGGTATGTTGAGTCACAATCTGATTACTTCAAAGATTTAGCTACATGAACATAAAATGCTATAATTTCAAATAGTTTACCAACAGTGTGCTTCAAAAACAAGTGATTGGAAGATTTAGAAAATAGTAAAATTTTAGAGAATAATTAGAGTAACTTTTATTTTATTTATTTATTTTTTTAAAATATATTTTATTGATTTTTTACAGAGAGGAAGGGAGAGAGATAGAGAGTTAGAAACATCGATGAGAGAGAAACATCGATCAGCTGCCTCCTGCACATCTCCTACTGGGGATGTGCCCGCAACCCAGGTACATGCCCTTGACCAGAATCGAACCTAGGACCTTTCAGTCCTCAGGCCGACGCTCTATCCACTGAGCCAAACCGGTTTCGGCAGAGTTACTTTTAAATTTTGGAAATAAAAAATTGTATTTGCCTTGAACATTTTGTCAAACAAAAATCAATTTTTATCTAAAGAAATACTTTAAATGTATGAAATAGCCCAACTGGCATTGCTCAGTGATTGAGCATCAACCTATGAATCAGGAGGTCACAGTTCATTCTCAGTCAGGGCACATGCCCAGGTTTGTAGGCTCGATCCCCATTGCGGGGTGTGCAAGAGGCAGCCATCAATTATTCTCTCTCATCATTGATTTTCTATTTCTCTCTCCCTCTTCCTTCGTCTTTGAAATCAATAAAAATATTTAAAAGTTTGAAATAGTAATTATTTAATTACATGGAGAAGAAAACTTTAATTCCTTTTATCATGTTATGATCAAAGAAATTTTAACCAACACATGTTTTTATCAATTCCTCACATTCTCAAATCTAGGAGACCCTATTCTGTTTTGGATGACCTTTGGGTCCTAATTTTTCCTCCTTCTTCCTGGGAGTTATGCTACAAAATTCTCTACAGGAAGATTGCAGAACCCCATTTTCTTCCAGGATGTGCTATATTATTAGGATGCCTAATGTCAAGCAACAAAAGAGTCAATTCAAATAAACTTGAGCAGTAAGGAAATTTATTATCTCACAATAAGAAAGTAAAAAAAATAAGAAGTCTACAGGAAGAGTACAATCAGTAGCTTCCTGGTGCCATCAAAGACCTAGATGCCCTCCAACTCTCCAATCTGCCACCTTCAGTGACCACCTCATTCTAAAGCTGGTACTCCTCATGATCCAAGATGATGGTGGCAATTTTAGGTTTCACATATGGACATAATATTCACAAAAAATTTTGTGAAAAAAATTTGTTTAGAAAATTTCTCTCTCTCCTGTAGACCTCTCATATTTCAGTCTAATGCTCGATCTCATGCCCACCTTTAAAGGGGACTGTTATAACTAAGATTAGCTTAGAGCAGCAATTTTCAAGTGATGTGCTACAAGAATTTTAAAAACAAGCAATACCTGACTTTTTAATCAGGGGTACTGACCTCTTTTCCCTTAGATTATCAAATAAAAAAGTATCAACAACCAGTACAACACTAGCCATCCAGTGACTTTATTAATTAGTTTATGTGTGCCATGAAATGGAAAAGGTTGAAAATAGTTGGCTTAGCCCTGGCCGGTTTGGCTCAGTAGATAGAGCGTCAGCCTGTGGACTGAAGGGTCCTGGGGTCGATTCCGGTCAAGGGCACATGCCCAGGTTGCGGGCTCGATCCCCAGGAGGGGATGTGCAGGAGGCAATGAATGGTTCTCTCTCATCATTGATGTTTCTATCTCTCTCCCCCTCTCCCTTCCTCTCTGAAAGCAATAAAAATATATATTAAAAAAAGAAAATAGTTGGCTTAGTTAGGGTCTAAACCTTAGACCAACCCTAGCTGGTTTGGCTCAGTAGATAAAGCATCGGCCTGCAGACTGAAGGGTCCCAGGTTTGATTCCAGCCAAGGGCACATGCCTGGGTTGCAGGCTTGATCCCCAGTCGGGGGCATGCAGGAAGCAGCCGACCAGTGATTCTCATCATTGATGTTTCTCTCTTTCTCTCCCTCCCTTCCTCTCTGAAATCAATAAAAAATATTTTTAAAAAGCAAGGCATACTTTATTAAAATGTATCAATAAGCAAACAAGCAACACAGATACCATATAGGTAAAAAAAAAAAAATAAAAGTCATGTCTCAGCAGGTTGAGGTGGAAAGGCTAATGTTCCAGAGATAAAAGTTACTCTTAAGAGAAACAACTCCCACTTCTCTGGGATTCAGATCTGGGAATCAGCACCAATGGTAAATCAGCTGGTCTTGATCATGGTATCTGAGGACCAAGAGAAGAAGTGACATGACTTCTACAGATCCAAGGGCACGTGCAGATTAATTGATTAATATCAATAACTCTAATCTGTTTGGAAGAATTCTATTTGGAAGCCAAAGATTATTGAACTAAAGTCTAGCATATTTCCTTTTTCTTATTTTTAACATGAGTTTCTAAAGGAAGAGACATAGAGGACAGTTTAATTTTGCCCCATGCTTAGAACATTAGCAACACATATGCTAAATTTTCTGTTACATTTTGATATTGATAATTTGAAGACCTCATTCCTCCATCACAGAACTGCAGTGCAGGCACAATACATAAAGCCTGGAGGGAGCCTGGCCAGGGTTCCTCAGTGGTTGAGCGTTGATCCTTGAGCCGAGAGGTTGCAGCTCCATTCCTGGTCAGGGCACGTGCCCAAGTTACGGGCTTAATCCTCATTAGGAGGCTTTCAGAAGGCAGCCAATGGATGATATTTCTCTCTCTTCGATGTTTTATCTTTCTATCCCACTCCCTTCCTCTCTCTCTAAAAATCAATATAAACATTTTTAAAAAAGAAAGAAAAGAGGCTATAAAAATTCACTCCTTCCTTTTATATATATTAAAAAATCCTGGCCGAAACCGGTTTGGCTCAGTGGATAGAGCGTTGGCTTGCGGACTGAAAGGTCCCGGGTTCGATTCCGGTCAAGGCCGTACCTGGGTTGC